TACTCCCTTGTAGGTAACTTTCTGTCTCCCTTTTGCTGCCTTTAAGATACTTTCTTTGTCTTTCATGTTTGACATTTTGATTATGATGTGTCTTGGAATGAGTCTCTTTGGGTTCATCTTGATTGAAACTCTCTGTGCATCCTGCACTTGTGTGACTTTTTCCTTCACCAAATTATGGAAGTTTTCTGTCATTATTTATTTAACCTGGTTCTCTATCCTTGCTCACTTTCTTCTCCTTCTGGTATCCCTATGATGCAAATGTTGTTACCTCGCATGTTCCAAAGTTCCCTTAAACTGTCCTCCTGCATAATTTTTTTTTTCTTTTTGCTGCTCTTTGATTGTGTTTTTTCTACCTTGTTCTTCAAGTCACTGATTCACTCTTCTGCCTCATTTAACCTACTTTTTATTCCTTCCCATGTATTCTTGATGCCAGTTATGTTATTCCTCATTTCCAACTGATTTTTTTTTAAAAAAATCTTTATTATTGAAAGTATTACATAGGTTCTTCTTTCTCCCCATTATACTCTTTCATCCTGCTTGCTGCCCCCCCACCCCCACCTGAGGCCCTCAACACCTCATTGTCTGTGTCCATGGGTTGTGCATATATGCATACAAGTTCATTGATTGAGCTCTTCCCACCCACCCTCCCCTGCCTTTCCAGTCTGTTCATGCTTTTGTGTCTCTGGGTCTTATTTATAGTTTCTACTTCTTGTTTCATACTGTTGTAAGTCCCACTAAGTGTCTTGAAATTCTCGCTAAGTTCCTTGTGTAGTCATTATCATTACTCTGAGCTCTGTATCTGATAAATGGCTTCCCTCCATTTTGTTAACTCTCTTTCTGGAGTGTCCTCCTTTTCTTTTATTTGGGGGTTGTTTTTTGTCTCCCATTTTTGTTGTTCCTTTGTATTTTTTTTCTATGTATTAAAGTAAATTGCTATGCCTCCCAGTCTTCACAGGGTGGCCTTATGTAGTAAATATTTTATGGGACCCAGTGGCGCAGTTTCTTAAATCCCCTGAGCTGGTTACTTGTGTGTTACTTGGGCTCTCCCATTATAAATGGGTCCTGAATGCTGCTGTCCCATTTCTGGGAAGAATCTCCTCTGACGTTGGCTGACTGTGAGGCTCACCCCCAACCACATCATCCAAGCTATTGCCTAGGTGCTGGCAGATAAAAACAAAATAAAACAAAATAAAAACATACAAGGCCCCTACAACAACAACAAAAGCAACCACAAAAGAAGAGAAAATTTGAAAGAAGAAAAAGTACAATGAAAGGGCAAAGATGAAAGAAAAAAGTTAAGAATAAAGAATAGGGGAAGGAAAATTTTATAAAAGAAAAGAGAAATAAGATAATTATGTAAAGGAAAATAGAGTAGAAAGCAGATAGACAAAATAATAGGAAAAGGCAAAGCAAATAGAAAGAAGGAGAAAGAAGAAAAAATAGAGTAAGAAAAGGGAAGGGAAAATTAGATCTATAAAAGAAAAAAGAGAGACTAAAATAATAATCAATAAAGAAGAAAGACACAGAAGATAAAGAAAAAAAAAGTAAAGTGGCATTGATCTCAGCAGACTTCAGTGCCTCCTGGGAGGTCCCTTTGGATTCTGCTCTTCTGATGACCAAGGCTGTTCTGTCTGCTAATGCTGGGCCTCCCAAGGAGGTACTCAGGTGCTAACCACTGTCAGGAACTGTCCTCCTTTGGCTTTCAGCAACCTGTTTGAAATTTCCAGGGATCCGCAGTTTGTGTCTTTCTCCCTAGGACTTGGCTGCTCGCAGGAGGAGCTGCACTCTAAGGCCAGTTCCATTAGCAGTACAGGGCCCAGTGATGGGTCAGCAACCTTCCCCAGGTTACCGGGCTCTACCTCTGCCTGCCTTCACCTGCCAGCCAACTGTCAATCTTAATCACTCAAAAGTCTGTTTCTGAAAGGGCTTTAGGCAGAATCAGGAGTCTTGACCTCTGGGTCTCCCCTGAGGAGGAGGTGCCATTCAGATGTCAGGGAACGTGATGGGTGTGTTTCCCTGTTCCAGAGCTACTCCTCTGAGAGGATCCAATATTTCCATGCCCTGAGCTGGGCCGAGACCCTTATATGCAGTCCAGGGGAACAGCTGGAAACCCGGAGCTTCTATCAGCTCTCCTGTGAGAGGGAAGCACCAGGCAGCTTCCCGGGATAGTAGGGTGGACAGCCCCATCCCTAATCCAGTCACTGGTTCCTGAGACTATTAAAAACTTGGCCTCTGCTGCTGTCTGCTCTGCAAAGGTCAAGATGCAGGGTGTGGCAGGCTGTGACGCCTAGGGCAGGGCTTTCGTTTTCCTGAGCTGTGGCTACTGGAATGGGCCATAGTCTCTCAGGAAAAGTGGCCATTGGTTTGGTGGGAGTGGGGGTGGGAGGGGGCCCAGCCTGGATTCCAGGCCTCGATCTTCTCAGGGAAATAATGCTTCCATAGCCGAAAGATCCCTCTTCATTCTTGGCCTGCCACCTGCAGAAGCTGGGTCAGCTCCTCTCACCACCTCATCCTTCCGACCAGTCTCCAGGTGTTTTCTGTCCTTCCTTGATATAAGTCTCTTCCTCAGCTGGGCCTCAGTTGGTAATTCTGGGTGAATATTCTCCAGTTTAGTTGTATTTCCTGCCTGGTCCTGAGGGAGGGGTGCCAGAAAGGTCTGCCTATTTGGCTGCCATCTTCCTCAAGAACTGTCCTGTTTGAATTCCTGTGAGTACCATCAGTTTTTCTGGAGGAAGAAGAGACTCCAAGAGCTGCTTAAATGAGAAGGGAAGGGATTGGGAGTTTCCTTGTTGAAAATGAGGCCCAGTATCATTCAACCATTCATTCAACAAACATTTACTGAGCACATGTCAATGCATCCAGCACAGAGCCAGTTATTGGGGCACAGAAAAAATATGACACAGTCCTAATTTGGGGGAATCTCTGGGGTACCCAAAGGGTTTTAGGGCAGGGCCCCTTGAAAGAAGCTGGAGTTAGCCCTGAGCCTGATGAGGCCTGGCACAGGCTTCCTGGCAACCAGTGGATTCCTTTCCTCCTGTCCCTGAGCCTGGTCACTGACGTAAATCTATTTCATGACCAATTGACCAAGAGATGTGACTATGAATAGGCACTGCTGAGGTGTGTACAGCAGTTTGCTGGGGAGCTCTAAGGCCGCAGCCCTCTGCAGACTCTCCAGACTCTGGACCACAGGCAGCCCGCTTTCCAGCTGCAGATCTCACCACCCTCCCAGGGCCCAGACAATTGACTGTTCAACTCCCTGAGCCACTATTATGTGTGCAAAGAGCAGTAGACAAAGTAGACAGAAATCTTGGCCCTCACTGACCAACATTCTAGCAGAGGAGCTAGCAAATCTGATGTCTAGAACAGTGAGTGCTGTGAATAAGCACAAAACAAGAGGAATGCAGAGAGGCTGGAGCAGGGGAGGGGACTGTTTGTATGGAGGGATCAAGGAAGGCCCCCTAAGAAGGTGGCAATGGCCAGAGACCTCAACCGCCAGGTGGGCGGGGCCAGAGTAGAGATCTTGAAGACCTGTTGTCTCCCTTTGTGCCCAGCTTTGCTCTTCTCACAAACGCTTGTTACGGGAGGTGAAATGGCACTCCTCTTGCTTTTCCCTTTGGTTCTGTCAATTTCTCAGTGATTTCCAAAGAGAAAATACTATTCAACAGGTGGCAAATTCTTCTGCATTCCAAGAGAGGGGCTGAACAACATCCATGGGACTTACAAGGGAGGCAACCTGGAATCAATTTAGTGACTGAAGTAATAAAAGGAAATTAGATTATTTTTTTGGAGGTAGTTGTTGATATGTAGCCCTCACCTGAAGCCTGGTGAGAAGCACTCCCAGAAAACCACCCAAAGAAGCTTATTTACTTATTTAGAGAGACTTTGAATGTGGGAGGGGCACAGTAGCTTGGTGAGCAACACATACACACACACAAGAAAACTGAAGTCAGAAGGTTGTTGTCAGTCTGAGGCAGCAGAGAGATAGAGACAGACAGACAGGAAGACACGTGCACACTCTGAGATAGAGAGACAGAGAACACAACCTGGGGCCATTTTAAATCTCATTGAGGAGGTCTTCCTGCTGACAGGCGGTAAATGGCCAAATTCCCAGAAGCTGAGAGAGGAAAGCTAAGCAGCTGGTTGGGCCAGCACTGTGCTGGCCAATGTCCTTACAAATGCCCAAGGAGGAGTCCCCTTTGCCATCCACGCAGCCCGGTTACTCCAGTGCTGCCAAATGAGACCTTGTCTCTCCTCCTCCTCCTCCTGTCAACACCGGAAGGGGCAGAAAACAGTGTGATCCTGGCAGAGCGAAAGGAGAGGGAGAATGGAGGAGTGCTCCCCACAGCACGTGCCCACACTTGCGCACAGTGGAGGGTGGGGGGGGAGGGCACAGGCCACACCTTGATGCAGTTATGTAATTATCCCACATATGAGTGACCAGCTGGAGACAGTGTGGGGACGAAGGCGACTGGAGCCTGCAGCCTGCCCAGCAGCTCCTCCAGGACTGGAGAGCAGGTTTGAGCAGGCTGGGTGGGGGCGGGGGAGATGAAGCTGTATTCTGGTTGTGTGTCACCAATCCCGCTCCTCCAAGGTGCTGGCTGTGCACTCCTCGCTACTCAGAAAAAGCCCACAGTTCTGCCCTCTCCCCTTCCTGTGTTCACGTCATCCTGGACCCTTACTTCCTTCCATCTGGCCTCAGCTCCAGCAGGCGATGCCCCATTAGCTGCTCACCCAGGCTGCTGGTGCCTTGAGCTAATGGCCCTGCCACTCCACCCTTCTCTCCCTTCCGGCCCACTGCCCATCCCAGGCACCCTCCCTCAGCCCAGCACGGGGACTCCAGAGCCTCAGAGACATCTGGCAGCACTAAGAGGTGAGTCCTTCTTTCTGTGGCTCCTCTCTACACCAACAGTTATTCCCCAGATTCCCAAATCCCCCTGCTCAGGGCGCCCCTGAAATCAGCAAGTTCATTCCCGTGGACACGATGGGACCTGGCTTCTCTGGGGCTCTCTGCTGGGGGGACCCTTTGGTTGCCACAACCTCCACCCTACCCAAACCCCAACTTCTCCTTCCCTTGGCTAGGAGCTAACACCAACCCTCCACTGCTGGACTGGTGGTCCACAGTGGGGGAGCAGCCACTTCTCTTCCCAGGGAGTTGGGGGAAGGGAACTGAAAGCAGAAGTCTAACTTCCATGCCTAAGAAAAGCACGTACTGTGGGGCCCAACTCTGTTTTGAATTCTCTCTCCCCCTTCTCTCCCCAGAGTCTCAGAAATTAAGCAGCCTTCGCTCTTCTGGGACCTGCACGCTTTCGTTCTGTCTTCTCTTGTCAATCCTCGATCACATTCTGTATTTTAAGAGGCGATACAGTGGAAAGAAAGCAGAGGACTGAGGGCTAGCAGTGTCGCTATCATCCGGGCTCCCCTGCTAACTGGCTGCCACCTCCCTTTGTGGGCCTCCGTCTGCCGAAGGCTTCTAATACCCTGGGCGGTTTGTGACTCCAGAGCTTCCCTCCTCAGGCCTGAGATCTGAGGTCAGGGAGCAGTGAGCACAGGAGCCAATTGGGCCACCGGGCCCCATGGACCTGCCCCCGCAGCTCTCCTTTGCCCTCTACGTGGCCGCCTTTGCACTGGGCTTCCCACTCAATGTCCTGGCCATTGGGGGCGCCGTGGCCCACGCCCGGCTCCGCCTCACTCCCAGCCTTGTCTATGCCCTCCACCTGGGCTGCTCAGACCTATTGCTGGCGGCTTCTCTTCCCCTGAAGGCGGTGGAGGCCCTGGCTGCGGGAGCCTGGCCTCTGCCGGCCCCGCTCTGTCCTGCCTTTGCCCTGGCCCACTTTGCTCCGCTCTATGCGGGTGGCGGCTTCCTGGCTGCCCTGAGTGCTGGCCGTTACCTAGGAGCCGCCTTCCCCTTGGGCTACCAAGCTGTTAGGAGGCCCTGCTATTCCTGGGGCGTGTGTGTGGCCATATGGGCCCTTGTCCTCTGTCACCTGGGGCTGGTCTTTGGGTTGGAGGCTCCGGGAGGCTGGATGGACAATACCACCAGCTCCCTAGGCATCAACACACCAGTCAATGGCTCTCCAGTCTGCTTGGAGGCCTGGGACCCAGCCTCAGCAGGCCCTGCTCGCCTCAGCCTCTCTCTCCTGCTCTTCTTTCTGCCCCTGACCATCACAGCCTTCTGCTACGTGGGCTGCCTCCGGGCACTGGCCAGCTCAGGCCTGAGTCACAGACGGAAACTAAGAGCAGCGTGGGTGGCTGGCGGGGCACTGCTCACACTGCTGCTCTGCTTGGGACCCTACAATGCCTCCAATGTGGCTGGCTTCTTGCAACCCGACATGGGAGGCCGCTGGAGGAAGCTGGGGCTCCTCACAGGTGCTTGGAGCGTGGTGCTCAACCCATTGGTGACCGGCTACTTGGGAAGGGGGATTGGCCGGGGGACATCATGTGGGACAAGAATCAAAGGGGGTACATCTCAGAAGTAGTAGCCTCTGCTGGGGGGCAGGAACATGCAGCAGAACCCCGCTGCTTCTCTAGGCCTCTGGTGGGGGCTGCTCCAAAGGAACTGCAGGGTGGCCTTGCCCTGGGGCACCCCTGGAGCCACTTATGGGAAGAACTGAGTCTGGCAAGATATCGTCCCACCTGGAGAGAAGAATGGAGGCCAGGAGCTGGTCGCAGGAGAAAGGTAAATTGACCTCTGCACACAGCAGCAGACTCTCCGTATCTGTCTCTCCTCTGCTTGGTCCTTACCTGCCTGCCTGTCAGTGTTATGGGCAGAGGCCTTTTACTAGTGGGAAAGTAGGAGGGGAGTTTGCTTCTAATCTAGAGGAACTGCCATCTGATGATACATATTGGGAGATGCTACTCCAAAGTCATTTCCTAGTCATTTAATTTCTGACTGAGACAGGAGGCAAAATAATGACACTGTAATACCACTGGAAACTCACAAGAGGGCAGCATTAGAACTGCGAACAGGAAGTTGGGGAGAAGGGATGCTTCAGCAGGGGGAGGGAAAATATTAGCAACACCAGAAATAGTCGCAAACAAATACAGAGCCTCTAATACGAGCCAGTCACCATGCCAAGTGCTTGACTAGTGTTGTCTCATTTCATCCTCACAAAGGCCTCTGATTTACCCGTGCAGCTGGGCAGGTTGTTCATTAACTCAATTCTAGCCTGTGCTTTGCTCACCAAGCCATGTGCCTGGCACAGGGGGGCCTCTATCCAGGGGAAGCAGCATCCTATCTAATAAAGAGGGAATATGCCAATTGACCCACATACCATCGCAAAGATGGTGGCGCCCACAGCCAATAAGGAGAGAATATGCTAATTGACTGCCCCGCCCTCAAAGTGGTGGCACCCACAGCCAATAAGGAGGGAACATGCTAATTGACTGCCATGCCCTCAAATATGGCAGTGCCCACAGCCACAAGATGGTGGCGCCCAGTCCCCACAGCACCGCTGGGGCAGCAGGCGCAGCAAGGCTGGGCCCACCTTGCTGCATGCCTGCCTCTGGAGTTTTCCAGTCCTCTCAGCCCCCCAGCTGCCCAGGGCCACCCAAGGCTCAGGTAACCAGGGCCAGCTGAGGCTTGCGCTGCCGACAGTGGCAGCAGCAGAGGTGTGATGGGGGCATCGTCTTCCCCTGATCGCCGGGTTGCCTCCCACCCCTAAGGGCTCCTGGACTGTGAAAGGGGGCAGGCCCGGCTGAAGGACCCCAGAGAGTAACTGAAGCCATTATCATCTTTATTTTGCAGGGAGAAAAAATTTTCCCAAGGCCCTACAGCAAGGAAGGGGTAGATGTGGGATGTGATCTTTCAAGGCAGGGCCCCCAAGGTCAGGGGACATTTGGAAAACTTAGTTATTGGGTTAATGCCTGTCCTTGGGGTCCATTTTACAAAGGTGAATGGTGGCACCCTGAACCCACAAGAAAGCAGGCAGAAGAGAGAGGCCATAAAGGAGGCAGACACTTGGGCATCTGCTCTGCCCAGGCCAGGGGTAGAAAGCAGATTTGTTCCTCTGATGATGACAGTGCCATGAACATATAGGAGCACCAAAAGTGGTAGCTATGTGCCCAGCATGCGTGAACAGATTTATACAAGTTATTTCTTTTCATGCTTAAATGTCTACAAGGGCAAGGAATTTTGTTTTATTTTCTGATATATCCCCAGCACCTAGAAGAGAGCCTAGCACACAGTAGGCTCTCAGTAAATGTTTGTTGCATGAGTGAATATTCACAATAGCCCTCCAAAGCAAGTTTTATTTTCTGTTTTATAAACATGGAAACAGGCCAGGGAAGTAACTTGCTGGAGGCTCTGTCGGGGGCAGAAACACGTTAGTTCCCTACACTGTGGTGATTCCAGAGAGGTTCCCATAACAGCTCCGGTGGCCCCCTGCTCCTCCCATAATGCCAGAGACTATTCTCTCTCCTATTCTCTGGAGTACCTGCTGCTGGGCCACTTCTTCCTGTTACTTGTGCCTCATCCTCATAGGGGAGATTTCAGTTGCTCTCTGGGGCCCATGGGCCTTGCATGATCCTCCCCTGGCATCATCTCCTGACCCCTGGCCCTTGAACCCTAAACCTTCTACCAGTTCCCCCAGTGGGTCAAGCCTGTGCACCTGCCATTCCTTCTGCCTGCAGTGTTTCCTCCAGTGGTTCTCTGCCTCTGTATTATCCTCCCACCACTCAACCCTCCCAACCCTCTCATTACCAACTGTAAGCACCACAACAGCAAAAACTTTGTTTTGTCCACTACTTATTGAGATAATATTTTCATATCATAAAATTCACCCATTTGGTATGTACAATTCAATGAGTTTTAGTAAATTTACTGAGGTGTGCAACTATCACTAAATCCAATTTAGAACATTTTCATCACCCCAGTCAGATCCCTCATGCTCATTTACAGTAACTCCCACTTCCACCCCTATAACCAGTCATCTACTTGTTGTCTCTATAAATGTGCCTATTCTGGACATTTTATATAAATGAAAACATATAATGCTCAGTCTTTAATGTCTGGCTTTTTTCACTTAGCATAATGTTTTTGAGGTTCATCCGCATTATAGTACACATGGGTATTCCATTCCTTCTTATTGCAGGTAGTGTTCTATTGTATGGATATGCTGCCTGGTTTATCCATTCATTAGCTGATAGGTCACAGAGGGATGTTTCCATTTCTTGGCTATTATGACTAATGCTATTTTTTTGTTATTTTTAAAATATGTTTTTAAAGATTTCAGAGAGAGCGAGGCAGAGAGAGAGAGAGAGAGATCAATGATGAGAGAGAATAATTGATCAGCTGCTTCCTGCATGCCCCCTACTGGGGATTGAACCCACAACCCAGGCATGTGCCCTGACCAGGAATCGAACCGTGACCTCCTGGTTCATGAGTCAACGCTCAACCACTGAGTAACACTGGCTGGGCGACTAATGCTATTTGAACACTTATGAGCAAGACTGTGTGGACATATGTTTTTCTTTCTTTTAAGTAGATACCTACCTATAAGGGAATTGGGTCACATGGTAAGTTTATGTTTACCTTTTAAAGACACTCACACTGCTTAAAAGTGACTCCACTATTTTGTATTCTCCCCAGCAACATGTGAGGATTCTCATTTCTTCACATCCTCACCAACACTTGACATCTGTTTTTACTTATAGCCATTCCAGTAGCATGGGAATAAAATGGTATCTCATTGTGTTCCATAAATATTTGAATGAATAAATAAATAATCTCTGAAGCTGGACAGAACTTGGGTTTGAATTCTGGTGGTGATTACCTGGAGCAAGTCACTTCTGCACAGTGAGGCACAAGACATAATGGTGATACCTTGAGAATCAGAGTATCTGCTATAGATTATATGCCCCCTAAAAGGTAGCTGCTATCATCACCACCACCATCATCATTATTATTAATGTTATTATTACCGTCACCCCAGGGACAAGCCCATACCAGGGACTCGGGTGATGGCAACTAACACCTGTTAAGTGCTCACCCTAACATGTCAGGCTCGCTTCTAAGCATTTGATATGGACTAATGCTGTAATCTACACAATAACATATGAGATTGGTACTGTGATCCTCTCTGTTTTAGATGAAAAAGCAGAGATTCAGAGAGTTTACATCACTTGCTCCATATCAGAGTAAATAAGTGACGGAGCCGACATTGGACCCAGGCCATACTTACCATCACTGCATCCTGCTTCCTGTCCTTACAAGGCAAACTAGACGAGTGCCACGTAGAGAGCAGATAAACTGCAAGTGGAGGATGGGGGAAGGAGAGATGACGTCGGCTCAGGCCTGGTGGGGGCATTCCACTGGAGGCTGCCCTAGGAGCCAGGCCTCCACTTGTGGAATTTGCTCTTCATTTTGCATACAGAGCTAAAGGCATCTTTTGTGCTATGGCTCAGCAGTGAGTGACATCACAGGCACTGCCAGATCTTTATCAGTTCCGTCAGATTAATAGCTAACTGCACTTGCTCTGGAGGAACCAGCAAGGTGCCGAGTGGCAGAGCACTTGGATTCTTAAATAAGCAGGTGAGTGCTGGGCCCTGAGTAACTGTGGAGGAGCCGCTTGGCGCTTACTTTACTGGGGGAAGCAGTAGGAGACAGGCTGACCCCAGTGGGGAAGGCGTCAGGGGGCATGAGAAAGTGAGGTGGTGACGATGTTCTCTGTGGATTGTTGAGACGCTGCCATCTCTCTCCCTCTCTGTCTCACAACCTCTTTCTCTCTAGTGGCCATCACCATGGACACAAGCCTGGATCCATCCTTCTTCCCCGGCAATCACTGGCTGTACTTCTCCGTGTACCTCTTCACCTTCTTGGTGGGGCTCCCGCTCAACCTGGTGGCTCTGGTGATCTTCGCCCGCAAGCTGCAGCGCCGCCCAGTGGCCGTGGACGTGCTCTTGCTGAACCTGACCCTCTCGGACCTGCTCCTGCTGCTCTTCCTGCCCTTCCGCATGGTGGAGGCGGCCAGCGGCATGCACTGGCGGCTGCCCTTCATTTTCTGCCCCTTAACCAAATTCCTCTTCTTCACCACCATCTATCTCACATCCCTCTTCCTGACAGCTGTGAGCATCGAGCGCTACCTGAGCGTGGCCTACCCGCTGTGGTACAAGGCCCGGCCAAGGCTCCGACAGGCTGGCCTGGTCAGTGGGGCCTGCTGGCTCCTGGCCACTGGGCACTGCAGCGTGGTCTTTATCACCGAATTCTCAGGAAACTCTTCCCTCAGCACCTGCTACCTGGACTTCCAGAAGGAGCAGCTGGCCATTCTCCTGCCTGTCCGGCTGGAGATGGCTGTGGTCCTTTTTGGAATTCCCCTGCTCATCACCAGCTACTGCTACAGCTGCCTGGTGTGCACACTCAGGAGGGGAGCCAGCCACCGGCGGAAGAGGGTGGCAGGGCTAGTGGCAGCCACGATGCTTAACTTCCTCATCTGCTTTGGGCCCTACAATATTTCTCATGTTGTGGGCTACCTCCAGAATAAAAGCCCAGTATGGAGAAATTACGTGCTACTCCTCAGCACCTTGAATTCTTGCGTTGATCCCTTGGTTTACTACTTCTCATCATCTGGGTTCCAGGCTGACTTTCAGAGGCTGCTGCAAAGGCTGCCTGGGGTCTGGGGCTTCTGGAGGCAGGAGAGCTGCTTGAAACTGAAGAAGAATGAAGAGGGGCAACCGCGGGAGCTGTCCAATGTAGAGAAACAGGTAGTGGACTCTAAGAGGGCTGTGGAGCGGGCGTCAAGTGGCCTGAACTGAAAGACATCTCATCACAAGGCAGTTCCCAGCTCAAGTTAGGCGGGACCTGGGAGTGGCAGGCTGGAGACTGATGCCGTCGAGCAGAGCAGGCACCCAGCCTTCCTAAGGATGTGCTCGCCAAAGCCCAATTCTTGATTTCACCACTCTGCCCTCCCTCCCTCGCTTCCCATCCCCCCCGCTGTGGATTAGGCCCAGGATGTAGTCAAGGTGAGCGCGCGAGGAAAACGAGCTCCCGGGGACAGCAGCCAGCTCCGGTGAAAGAGGAGTTGAGGGCAGTGTCCAGGGCCGAGGGAGCTACCCAGTGGCTTGAGACAAGAGAGAAGAATCTACCCTTCAGAGCCGCTGACCTGGCAAGTCAGGAGCGGAGGACACAGGATCCAGGCACGAAGGAGCGTCCTGCTCTCACATGGACTTTTCCAGAAAGTTTCCATTGTTCAATAAATTCAGATTTTCAGGGACATTTATGAAAAAAATGACAGAACAAAAATTACCTGAATAAATTTGATAGCAAGCAAAAGACAATGGTCTTTCCTTATTCTGTTTTCTTTCTTTTTTTTTAATTAAATCTTTATTGTTCAAATTATTACAGTTGTTCCTCTTTTTTCCCCCCATAGCTCTCCTCCACCCAGTTCCCACCCCATCCTCTGCCCTTACCCCTCCCACTGTCCTCATCCATAGGTGTACGATTTTTGTTCAGTCTCTTCCTGCACCCCCACACCGCTTTCCCCCCAAGAATTGTCAGTCCACTCCCTTTCTATGCCCCTGGCTCTATTATATTCACCAGTTTACTCTGTTCATCAGGTTTTTTATTTACTTGATTTTTAGATTCACTTGTTGATAGATATGTATTTGCTGTTCATAATTTTTATCTTTACCTTTTTCTTCTTCCTCTTCTTAAAGAATACCTTTCAGCATTTCATATAATACTGGTTTGGTGGTGATGAGTTCCTTTAGCTTTTTCTTATCTGTGAAGCTCTTTATCTGACCTTCAATTCTGAATGATAGCTTTGCTAGATAAAGTAATCTTGGTTGTAGGTTCTTGCTATTCATCACTTTGAATATTTCTTGCCACTCCCTTCTGGCCTGCAAAGTTTCTGTTGAGAAATCAGCTGACAGTCGTATGGGTACTCCCTTGTAGGTAACTGACTGTCTTTCTCTTGCTGCTTTTAAGGTTCTCTCTTTGTCTTTTGCTCTTGGCATTTTAATTATGATGTGTCTTGGTGTGGTCCTCTTTGGATTCCTTTTGTTTGGGGTTCTCTGTGCTTCCTGGACTTGTAAGTCTATTTCTTTCACCAGGTAGGGGAAGTTTTCTGTCATTATTTCTTCAAATAGGTTTTCAATATCTTGCTCTCTCTCTTCCTCTGGCGCCCCTATAATTCGTATGTTGTTTGCACTTGAAGTTGTCCCAGAGGCTCCTTACACTATCTTCATATTTTTGGATTCTTTTTTCTTTTCTGGTTGGGTATTTTTTGCTTCTTCGTATTTCAAATCTTTGACTTGATTCTTGGGACCCTCTTGTCTGCTGTTGGATCTCTGTATATTATTCTTTATTTCAGTCAGTGTATGCTTAATTTCTAGTGGTCTTTTTTCATATCCTCCATGGTCTCACTAAATTTATCAGTGGTTTCTAGTAAATTGTTGAAAAACCTTATAACCGTGGTTTTGAACTCTATATCCAGCAGTGTGCTTTCCTCCATTTCTGTCATTTGTGACGTGTTTCTTTGTCTCCGTATTTTTTATGCTTCTCTGTGTTGGTAGAGTGGCTTTGTGTGCTAGGTGTCCTATAGGGCCCAGTGGCTCAGCCTCCCCAATTACCTGAGGTGGACACTCTTGGTGCACCCCTTTGTGGGCTTTGTGCACAGTCTTGTTGTCGTTAAGCCTTGATTGTTGTAGGTATCACTGGGAGGAATTGACCTCCAGGCCAATTGGCAGTGAGAATCAGCTGTGTCTATGGTGGGAGAACTTCTGTGCTGAAGACACCCTTATGGGGCAAGACTTGCTTCAGTGGGGCTTGGGTGCTCACTGAGTCTGCCCCCTGGGTGTGTCCCTTATGGATCTGAGGAGTTGTAATCCAGATGGTCCCCCTCTGACCACTGGGTACACTGGCTCTTGGAGGTTACCCAGCAGGAGCTATGGAGAGAACTGCAGATTCCCCGTCCTTTTTTGGAGTTTGGAGGTGCCCTGATGAGGCCCAGCTGTGAAGCAATGCAAGCTGCTGTGGGGCCTTGGGCCTTCTCTTGGAAGTTCTGGGTCTGTGGCCCCGCTGCAGTTTGTTAGGTAATTTTCAGGTTGCAAAGGGCCAGGGCATTCATATGCAAAAGCCTCTGTGCACCACTTGGGTGGGGCGGGGTCTCAGGGAATCAACAGGGTGGAGCAAACAGCTATGGCTGATCCTCAGCCCTGCCCTAAGAGGCCCTGCGTCTCAGTGTCCCAGTAATTGCTGCAAGCGCCTCTGAGAGAGAGCCGCCTTCAAGTTCTGAGTCCTGCCTGCTGCCAGACAGTCCAGTTTCTCTCTGTATGAGTCTGGGTCCCCAGAGACTTCCCAGAACTGGAGTTCAGAGCAGTCGAGGTCTTGTGACTCCCTCCCGATTCAAAAAGACAGCCGTGTCCTCAGTTGCCAGCCCTTGCCGCATGCGCCTCGGTACCTCTGCACTTTACTTCCGCACCTCCTCTGAGTCTCAGTGCTTTTCTTTCCTTCTAGTTGTAGAATTTCCGTTCAGCCAGCCTTCCTGTGGTTCTGGATGATGTCCGTTTTGTCTTTTAGTTGTTTTTTTGAAGTTGTTGTGGGAGGCAACAATTTCCAGTGTTTACCTATGCCGCCATCTTGGTTTCTCCAAATGCCCTTATTCTGTTTTCTTAAGGTGCACATGTGTCAGGTGGAATTGGTGGATAGAAGGATTCAAAAGGGAAAGGACTAAACAATAAGATGCCTGAATGCTGAGAGAGGATCTGGGTTGGAGGAATAACAATAATAGCCAACATGTTATTTTCTTCAATCCTCTCAATAACCATGTGGCAGGTAAAATTTCTATTTTATAGATGAGGAAATGGGCCCATGGAGGTGAAGTCTCTTAACTGAGATCCTACAGACAGTAAGTGATTAAAATAAAACCCCAGGGTGGGATTAGCTGACTCTGAAGTCCACGCCCCTCACCCACTCTGCTATTCTCCCTCCTGCTGTGCATTACCACAGTGATCAGGCCAGTCCATCTTCCAGAGTCAGGGAGGCAGTCTGGCCAGGACAAATGTCAACAGGCCACAGTGAGACATAGAACTATATGCTACCCTGTGCCCATCTAAGCAGGTAAAGGAAACTGGTAGAGAGATGGTGTGGGGTGTATGCGCAAGTGATGGGGCATCATGCATTCTTGCCATTTGGCAGAACAAGTAGGTGTGTCTCTCACGGGTGAGGGGCTTGCAAGCATGAGTGAAGGTTCTGGGGGGTGCAAGAAGAAGTCAAACCAGGTTGGATCTGCCATTAAAGAGGTCAAACAAACTCAATTCTGCAAAAGAGAGCCAACCATTGGGCACCTGACTCACAGTGGATACCAAAAGCTACTCAATATTGGCTGAAACACCATTTCTCAAACATTTTTGTATCATTGTCCCCTAAGGAGTCTTTTAAGATATTTTTTCCTACTTGGCACCTTGCCTATGACATTTTAATACAACAGATATGCTATATATCTGTTTATGGGTGTGGCCCTTCAGAAGTGCACAAACCATAGTAAGATTTTTTTTTTTTGCTTCCACAGAACTAATTTTCACCTCTTTTGGGAGTAATATTGCCTCACTGAGAATGCAAAAGTTAGAGAAATGGTTGTATCCAATAGTGATAAAGCCTGTCTCACACAACTGTACCAAACAAAGTTCATTCTCTCGCAGGAGCAAAAGACACCACATTCCACAGAGGGAGTGTGAGTGATCTCACAAAAGAAGGGACAGGGTTACTATAGAATTTGGGGGAAGGGTGATGTTTAGGTGAAGTTTCAATGAAGCCACATTTGACAGGCTCACAGCAAAGCAGAGCTGTACATAAAGACAGCAATATCAGGCCTGGACCTAGAATAGTGGTTCTCAACCTGTGGGTCGCGACCCCTTTGGGGGTCAAAGGACCCTTTCACAGGGGTCGCCTAAGACCATCGGAAAACACATATATAATTACATATTGTTTTTGTGATTAATCACTATGCTTTAATTATGTTCAATTTGTAACAATGAAAATACATCCTGCATATCAGAGATTTCCATTACGATTCATAACAGTAGCAAAATTACAGTTATGAAGTAGCAACAAAAATAATTTTATGGTTGGGGGTCACCACAACATGAGGAACTATATTAAAGGGTCGTGGCATTAGGAAGGTTGAAAATCACTGACCTAGAAGAAGAGTCAGGATCCCATTTCTATGGAAAGATACAAAATAAAGACAGAGGTTGAATTTTGCATCTGAAAACTCCTTATCTGAAGCCCTGGGGGCTAAAGGCAAGGCTGCTTCTGTGTATCACAGGTTCCCGCCTGGGTCTTCCTAGTAGCAGAGGGATGTTTCATTTTTACTGACATGATTTGATTTCAAACAGTCAAGGTTGCTCAGCAATCTACTTTTTAAAATTAATAAAGTACGTTTTTAAAGATGTACAAAAAGAACTCATTGTTGGCCATGAAGTAGGAGGAACTTTTCCCTCCTAGAATGAAGGGCCTCCTCCATTAAAAACTAGAGCAGCACAACCCAGAAGGACAGGAGGTACGGGAGCCTCAGCCCCCTGCCACAGGTTCCCTGGGCCACAGGTCAAGTCTCAGTTTATAGGAGAAGAGGGAGTTGGCTAGAAGCTTCAAATCACCAAGTATGATGGGAAACCTAGCAAAGCTAGCCAGGAAGTGATTAAGGAACCCTGCAAAGATGGTTCACTGTGGCCTGGTGGACAACAGTGAGTGGTGAGACTGTTGTAGGCTTGTGCTGTGACCAGCTCAGACCACTGCTAAAGCAGGGTCAGTTAGAGGAGGTGGAGGCAGGAAGTGGAGAGGAAGCCCAGCAAGGGAGGCCAGCCAACTTGATGCCTTCTCCCCAGCTGTGGCCAGGGCCTTTGGATCTGCATATGTGCCTTGTGGGGAAGCTGTGCGCAAAGCAAGAGCAGTGTATCTGCTTCAGCTGGATCCTGGGAAGGGGCAAAAACTAGAGAAGGTCAAAGTTGGGGGAGGAGGAAGGGAGGTGAAGAACAGTTGGGAATAAGCAAGAGGCCTGGGAGTCTGCAAAGTTAGTTGTGAGAATCAGCCAAAAGGAGGGAGCAGAAAAATAATAAAGGTAGGAAGGCACGTGGAAGAAAGGTCAGGCCATAGATCTGGAAGAGGAGAAAGAGGTGGGAGACAGGATTGGAGTGGGGAAACAAATAGAGTGATATAATGTGAGAAAGCATTCAGCTTTTTAACCTTCTTTTCTCTGATAGGACTGCCTCTGGCTTAACAAAAACAAAAAAAGCTACAAGTGATACATACAGGTAGTTGTGGC